TGGGCACGCTAGAAACGTAGGATTGTGGGTTCGAATCCCTGTTTCTAGGTTTGTCAGCACCATACCCGTGCTCGTGGGATTCACTGAAGGGTAAACAGTGTGCTTTAATTGTAATGATTTTGGTTGGTTTGTTGTTTAACGCCGCACTAAGCAATATTTCAGCTATATGAAGGCGGGTCTGTAAATAATCGAGTCTGGACCAGACAATCCCGTGATTAATATCATGAGCATCGATCCACGCAATTTGTTGGTTGGTTGGTTGTTGTTTAACGCCGCACTAAGCAATATTCCATCTATATGACGGCGGTCTGTAAATAATCGAGTCTGGACCAGACAATCCAGTGATAAATATAATGAGCATCGATCCACGCAATTGGTTGGTTGGTTGTTGTTTAACGCCGCACTCAGCAATAGTCCAGCTATATGACGGCGGTCTGTAAATAATCGAGTCTCGACCAGACAATCCAGTGATTAATATAATGAGCATCGATCCACGCAATTGGGACTGATGACATGCATCAACCAAGTCACCGAGCCTGACCACCCGACCCCGTTAGTCGCCTTGCACGACAAGCATAGTCGCCTTTTACGGCAAGCATGGGTTGCTGAAGACCTATTCTACCCCGGATCTTCACGGGCCCCATGCAATTGGGATCAATGACATGCATCAACCAAGTCAGCGAGCCTGACCACCCGATCCCGATAGTCGCCTTTTACGACAAGCATATTTACCTTTTACGGCAAGCATGGGTTGCTGAAGACCTACTCTACCCCGGAATCTTCACGGGTAATTGTAATGATCGTATTGAAGATGTTTCATTTCAATGTCCATAATATGATGATCTTACGATCTTATAAAAACATTACACGAGACTATTGGCGATTCCCCCAGATTCTATGCTCTAAATACCATGTGTTGATTAGTTAACGCTGGTACAACACGTGGTCGCCGACCATGCAGATTATCTGCCTTTGGATTAGCTACGTCTGGTCCGAAACTTGAACTCCTGTGCCTGGCACAATGGACAACGATTTTTCTTCTGACGACTGATTATAACATTTATATTTCATGACCTCGAGGTTTGGGAGTACAGTTGCATGATTCAATTAATTACACAATCAAAGATATAGTGGTAATAACTATTATAGGTACAAGAAACAGTAGCTAACGATAAAAAGAACAACTTGAAACTTCATATTTATGTTCCAACCTCCCCTTATTGTTTTTGTCAACACAGGAGGACACGATAAATTTATCAGTATATACAAAATGTAAAATAATTAATCATAGAACAAAGATAATCAGCAAAAAATGTTCCACACACCTAAATGTGTCGCATGACATGATATATATGCGATGCAGAGAAGTGAGGGTAACACATATAGATGAACAACTCTTTTATAACAATCAGGAGTTACGTTTCTATGTAATTCTAAAACCATTATCAAGCAAGTGTTGTACAGTGTATGTTGATAGGCATATATACAGGTATGAGGCAGTGTTTATACAGTTGAGTTGATTGGGATGTAGTTACACTGGAGGGGAGTAGCCTGTTGTGTACACCACAGGGGTGATATAGTATATACATCAACAGGTGAAGCCAGCAGTATAAACAAAAGGATTATCATTGATTGGGGGTCTTTGATGAGTTGATGGCACGCAAGGGTATGTAATAGCCTTTTGATGTTGATGGCTTCTTGTAGTTTTCTGATTTTGAAGCCTTTAATGTTGGTGGTGTGGGGTCAGGTTAGCGGTCTTCATCTTTTCCATAAAACCGATGCAGAATATCAATTAATTAGAAAACTTCAAGGCCTTAGGCGTATTCTTAATAAAAACGGAACTAATAAAACGCATCTAAAAACACAATAACCTACCAAATCAAAATCACATAAACAAACAAACATCCACCATACCCAGCTCCCTTAGTTCTCCTCCCCAATCCCATCGGCATCTATTCCAAATCTCAAAATTCCCAAATTCTATAAAAGCAACCCCTAAAACCCCCCTCTTGGGTTGCACAGACCACCTTCGCCCCTTTCGGAAACACATTAAATGGCCTGGCCGGGCCCGTGTGCGAAATACGCATCAGTCGGAAAGCGCACGTTAAATCTCCAAAGTAAGTAAGTAAGTCAATTAATGCCATTGTCATAGTGGACATTACTTGTGCGATGGGTTCGTGTAGTCTATAGTCTGGCGCATATCAAACTTAGCATTGAATTTACTTTTGTCTCTTGTCCAAAGAGCAAGGTATGATATGAGCCCAATTATTCAGGGTCAGCAACCCTTTTAATTGTTATCAAATGTGTTCACCTAGAGACTCGGAGATCATGCGAATGATCCTTTTTTGGTAACATTAATTATTAAAGAAGTATAACATCTACATCCAAATCCAGCAACACCATAGTAATGCATTTACCCTGATAACGTTTTTTAACACTTTTAACACTTTGGTTTCTTACTCGTGCTTGGATTTGAAGACTTTCAAGAAGACTTTTTGAAGACAATTTATCTGTACATCAGGACATACAAAAGAGAAATACCTTCATTACATAATGCAGCTTTTATCAACGAGTGAGCGACTTGGATTTAGTGCAACTGTGCCATTATTTCAGTTATACAACAGAGTGTCAGTATAATGGAGAAGTCAGGTTCCCTGTTGTATGAAACTTTAATGATACAACGCGTGTCATCACACCCCCATTTACTAACGTGTCAAAATAATCGGTTGCATCAAACTTTCCATGATACAATCGCTAAACTAAGGGTCCATTAACATAAATGGAGATTTGGGGTATCATTAACCTGCTATTAAATCAAATATGACCCGTGATTTGAGTTAACCATTTGGTAAATGTGATTTACAACTTTAGAGTTATTGTATCTGCATCCAATACAACATGTGCTTGTTTGCTAAAACGGAATTGTGGGAGAAATTATGGGGAAATACCCTAATTTAATAACAAGTTAAGATAAGATAATAAGATAAGACTTTATTATCCACTGAAATATTGATTAGCACTATAATATGAAAAAAAGAAAATATATGATATTAAAATATGTACATACAAAAAAAGACACTAATATAACTACGAGTAAAAACATGTAGAAAATTGAACACTAGAAAATTGAAAATTGAACACTGTCACAGTGACAACAAGGAATGGTATTTTAAAAGTATATGTATTTATATCACAGCAATAGTAAACTTTAATATAAGGGATAATGACAGGATAAAATGTGTGTACAGCGAACTGTTAAAAAGTATCAAACAGATAAACATTTAGAAGACTTATACTGGCTGGTATGAATGGTTTCCGGGCCCTGTTTGTTTTCAGCAGGTAGAAACTGATATTCGGAATGAAATTTATGACTGCTGTCATTTAATATATATCTTACGCGCCTTTTTGACAATTTGCTGCTCATAAACAACCGTACGGGGGGAACCGTAGATGTAAAGGCCACTGAAGATTTGATACCATTTAAACGTTAATGGAAAACTGACACTAAACGTATCATAAATTACCTCAAATAAAATTAAGCTTGTTTTGTTTGTTTGTTTCTTATCGCCGCACTCAGCAATATTCCAGCTGTATGATGGCGGTCTGTAAATAATCGAGTCTGGACCAGACAATCCAGTGATTGATACCTTGAGCATTGATACACCCAATTGGAATACGATGACGTGCATCAACCAAGTCAGCGAGTCTGTCATCCCGTTAGTCGCCTCTTACGACAAGCATTGTTGCCTTTTACGGCAAGCATAAGATGCTAAAGGGGGTGTTCACACCCGGCAGCTATTGTTTAGGGTAATTTCGCTGATCTATATCAACAATAGAAGGATTAAAATGGGAGATTATCGTGACGGCTGGTTCTGGTTCATTGGAGAAGGAGCACTGAACTCAAATATACATATAACTTATTTCACACATATTAAGTCATATTACACATATTGAACAAACAACAATTATTTTGTAAATACAACTTTAAAGAAATGAAATTGACAACATTTATACACAGTTACAATACAATCTACAACAATTTACAACCCAACAAATTGTGAGACAGAATCTCCATATTCCATTACAGATTTTGTTCCAGAATCCAGGCACATTTTCAGATGACCAAGTTCGTGTTCAAGTTGGCTGTACTGCTTCTTTTTGGATCGTTTTTTTTCACCCGATTGAAGTTGGCTCATTGTCACTTCAGTCATGGTTTGTTCTAATTGAATTAAACTGATGAATCGGAAGCTGTTGGCGTGTTTGGTTGTCATTTTTTATTCATGCATGCCACCCCTCTTCATGGTTAGTGGTTCTTGGACCCAAGGTGCCAAAATGGTTCCACAAACCTGCTGAAGACCTATTCTTAATCCGGATCTTTACGGGTCGTTACATATTTTAATGAACACATATTAGTTAATGAAGGTTTGCTACAACCTGGAACTCCAAAGAGACAAAGGTGATGACAAACCACGATCAGCTAAAGAATGTAATTCTGTGTAAGGTGTTACGGTGATTTAGACTATGGGCCACCCATACCATGTTTAGCCATTATGAACACTACAAATGTGAACATTAGAAATATGTGACTTAAATAAAAAACATACTTTAAATAATTAAATTTTCGTTGTTTTCATTGAAATTCCTGCATTCTGATTAGCTGAATTGGTCACGTGTTATTGCATTCATTTCCCAATGAATGTAAAAAATTAAGCCACGCCCACCGAGGCGCACTACTTTTATTACTGCGGAATGTCGGGGAATCCCAATATTACAGTCGAGGGAATTCCCTTTCTGCTCACGTGTATCGTCATACACAGGGCACATACTGACTGTGTAGGCGTGTCAAGTTATGTGCATAAATTAAACGATCACCTGATTCATGTCACGCCACAGTATGTATTCCTACACCTGGAAAATGTTTATCAATCTCATCATTTTGTCTATTTTGATATATACAACTGTTTTTGGTTAAACTATTGTAGCTAAAACATGTTTTACGTTGTCGAAATTAATTATAAGCATTGACTGTGTATTTTTTTCGGGTCATTGAGGTATGAATCGAAAAACCAATGTGCAAACTGTATGAATCCGCTAATCAACGTGTTCGACCTGTCATCGATCAACACATTTGGTTCACAGCTGTTTGCTCATCCCCAAGTATGTGGGTCGTTGTAGACCAGATACAAGAGCATCGTCCTCGGGGACTGCGCACCCAATCCCTTCCCAGGAGTCCAGTGTAGGTCACTGTCAGCGCCGCCAGCCTGTCCACCGACAGGGGATGCCTCATACACACCTGTGGGATTGCAAGTGGAGCAGTCCTTGAACCACCAGCCTGACTGAAAGTCCTGAGCACAGTTCCGGGCACTGTTGTCATTGTCCTGGTCCGTGGTGCTGAACGATGAACCGAGCAACGGTCCAAGGCAGTCTTCTAACATAACTGCAGCTTGGTCGTGTGTAAAATGATGGCCGAATGACAGACGATACTTACTGGATTCATCTCCGACACTAAAGTCCTGCATGTAATACTGGTTAAAGCCCGAATTAGTGACGATCTCAACCAATAGTGAATGTTTCCTGCTGCTGGAGATATAGTGGATGTAGTCATTGCCAAGCCAATGGTCCCCCGTAACGTCCCCAAAACCTTGCTTGTAGTCCTTCCACGAACGGTTGAAGTTTTCATTGCCAGCCTTCTGTCTAAGAAACATGGTTCTCCCACCATAATGCATTTCGCAATACACAGTAAATGGCCGAGGAGCTAGGCTTGGCTGCATTAAGTATTTATCGTGCTTGCCGCTGTAATAACTGACGCCGTCTGAACAGTCTGAAATAGAAGGACACAAAACAGTAAATTCACGAGAAACATGGCATGCAGGTATGGATGTTGACAATAGGTCATGTCATCAGAAAAGTTACACAGTTTAACCACCCGATCCCCATTCGCCGATTCTGAGGACTTGGTATGGTATAACATGATGTATATTTTGCCCCTGAGTGCAAACAAGGAGATGTAATGTATTTAGTTAATCTCTAATGACCTTAACATGGGTGTGAGTGTAATTATATTCGAGCGGTATACTTAAGAAAAGTTTTGCGTTTATTGAGGCCCAAACTGTGTGCAAACTTCGTATAATAACTTTATAGACTGCTTATTTAATGTTGTTTGCTTGTTTGTTGCTTAACGCCGCACTCAGCAATATTCTAGCTATACGACGGCGGTCTGTAAATATTTGAGTCTGGACCAGAAAATCCAGTGATTGATATCATGAGCATCGATCTATACTACGTAATTGGGATACGATAACATGTATCAATCAAGTCACTGAGCCTGACCACCTGATCCCGTTAGTCGCCTCTTACGACAAACATAGTCGCCTGTTATGGCAAGCGTGGATTGCTGAAGAGATAATTCTAACCCGGGTCTTCACGGGTGTGCATGGTTAGCATCGTATGCCACGGAATCACCAATGACCATAGATTTAGTTCCATAGCTATCTTCAGTAGTGCAGGACAATTTATCAATAATGAAAGCGAATGTCATATGAAGTTCACTGAGATGTGAAACGCTGGACTTCCTCATTGACAACAACTATGTAACTTTTGGGGGTAGGACATTTCGGCATGGACACCATGTGTGCTCCACTTCTTGTAGATCAGTTTCTTTATTCATTTTAATCGGAATTTCTGCTCGGATTACCAAAGTAAAAAACAAGGCAATGTGGCTATGACGTTTAACTTAAGCTTCAGGTATATAGAAGATCGGATATCGTTCAATAATGGTCAAATAGCAAGTTCTTATTCCCTGAATCCCCACCTGAACTAGAAATATAGGAGATAAGTGTGTCCGCCTCATCTGTTTCATATTTATAATTATGCATAACGATTCAGAATGATAAAAAGACTCTCCACAAGACTGTATGACAAGAGGATTGACTTCAGCATTTCAAAAGCAAACTTTTCCTTCATATCGAGCAATATTCCAGTAGCTCCGGGCTTTCGTGTCACAACCTTGGAGGTACAATCGAGCGTGCTCTTTCTTCGAAGATGTCATAACCTTTTCATATGACTCTTGCTCAAAAGTTGTTTTATCACGGGTACTATCTTCAAGGCCTCGTCAGTAAAGCTTTCAAAACGTTCTATTGAAGAACAGGTCTAAATTTGACGCATCGGTGACAAAAAACATATGTGAGAAAGTGTTTGTTTCCGTAAAGAACCAGCGGCCCATTTTACAGTACAAATGGCAATATCGCCAAACGATGCGCCATAGTATTATTTATACCACATTTTCCCTTGTTTTGTTTCTTCAGATGAACAATTGACTTGCCTTTGCATGTGTTTGTGACGGATGCCACCAATGGGACAGGGTCGTTTTACGCTCACCCTTTCGCAAACAGCTGGTATCATCACTATTTGATATTGATTCATAAACACATGCTCGACATATAGTCAGAATCGCACGATGGACTCTGGTTTTAGCAGAGATTTCTCAGTTAAATTAAAAATGTTTTGTATTTATTTTAGTCCAATAAGTTGGGGTTAACGCAGCTTTGAACATTATGACAGTTATATACTCTCCACAACATGTGGGGTATCAAGAAATATAAATGAGAAGATCGGTCTTCAGAAGAAGGATAAGCTTCCGAAAATGACTCTGAGAGAACCAAAACCTAACGTCCTCAACACACACGAAACATTACAAGTGGACCATGCAGTTCCCCTGTGGAGGTGGTTGGCAGGTTATTCCTGATTTTGACACACAAGTGAGAGGGCGTCCAATAGCTTTATGCCATTCTTATTGTGGAATTTAATTATCCACAGTAATACGTAAGCCCTCTACTCTTGCTTATATGCAGTATTTGGGATCAGATTTGGAATGCGCTGTCTACAACATGAGGAACACATAAAGGCTATTGGCATGCTTCAAACTGGTAGAACTCAGCGAGATGTAGCCAATATGTTTCAGTCTGTGATTTACAGACTTTGTAAGAGGTTTCTGCGGACGCGAAAAGTCCAGGGTCGATTAAGCAGAAACCAGACTTCAAGCAAACGAGCCCAAACAGCCAATCAAATCGTTGTTCACTGACGCCAGTTCAGGTTTCAAGATACTGACCACAGGATAAGAAATGCTCGGCGACCACATGGTGCACCACCGTTACGAAATCGACACATTGTAGTCAGACATCAATGGTGTTTAGAACGTTGGAGCTGGGTGAATGGCCAGATGAGTCACTCTGGACTTTCTGGATGGGCGTTGACGTGTCTGGAGGAACCGTATCGAACGCCGTGCGAACGTCAACGTAAGGCTGCATGATAAAATTTGGTGTGTGTCTGTAATGATATGGGGCGGGATCACTATAACGACCAGGACGCCACTGCATATTGTCCATGGAAGTGTCACTGGACAGTACTACTGAGACCATGTACTGTCGCCAATAGTTATGCTCATGCACACCATGTATCGTACCTCAACATCACCAGAGGGTGACCTTTCCTCGATGGTGCACATGGGACATCATCAGGTGAAGTATATGCCAACACCATACACCTACCGCTATGTTAGCTGAACTGGTCCATGCTGCAAGATGTGTGGAAACGATTCCCTTAAATTGTCACTGGGATATTGATTCGGACAACGGCATGCCGTTTACACGAATGTTTCACCAATCGTGGGGACATGACCCCATTATTGAACAAGTCATCTCACGCCGAAATTGGCACAAGGCATTCAAACGGGGACGGTGTGTTTAAAAGCGTTAGTTAGTCACGCTGAACACTGGTTTGATAGATTTACCACATGGGTACATGTGCCTCACATCGACTCACCCTCTACAGCGTAAAAGCTCTTGTACAAACATGTTATTTTCAGGGAATAAACATTACTGATCATTAATGATTCCTCTGTTTGTTATCTCTTTATATATGACAAGGAATGTAGGTTTTTGTCTCCAGCAAACACAGCGACCTAGATTAGGCAAGGAAAGGAAACTATTACGTTAAATTCCGGACAATCTAGACATTGCTGCGTGTAATTCTTATCCTGATTTTCAAGAAAATAACAACAACCGCCCTCAAAATCGTTCACATACAACGTTTTTAGGTGAAGGGGGACCCCCCTCCCCCTCCCCCAACACACTAACTAACTAACTAACTAACAAACTAACTAACTAACTAACTAACTAACTAACTAACTCCTGATATCAAATGATCGGCTCACGGCATACGTCTCAATGCTTACCTGTCATTAACCTCTCACATCTGTTACCAAGGTAACCGTTATAGCACTGACAGACATCTGTGCCTGCATTATAATCGCCACCATGTTGACAAGGGTTGTATACCTGGAACAAAGAGAGATACGTTTAAATTAACTGTTAAAACTTTTGTATAAAGTTGGTTAACGCCACACGAACAGACCTTCATATATATAAAACGTTTCAGCTTGATGTGGGAGGAACGCACACTGTGTAGTGATTCAGGTCGAAGACGTTTACCACTTTTTAGAAACCCACAAAGATGGGTTGGATGCTGAAAGGCAAATGATCTCAATCGGGAAGAAAAAAAGAATGTACACTGCAAACAACAAATGTTTATTTGTTTGTTTATTTGTTATTTCACACTGCACCCAGCAATATTCCAGCTATATGACGACAGTCTGTAAATAATTGAATCTGGACCAGACAATCCACTGATTGACATCATGAGCATCGATCCACGCAATTGAGATGCATCAACCAAGTCAGCGAGCCTGACCACCCGATCCCGTTGGTCGCCTCTTACGACAAGCATGGGTTGCTGAAGACTCGTTCTAACCCGGATCTTCGCGGGTGCGTACAACAAATGTAATGAACTACTTGATGTCATGTGCATATACCCATTATCAGAACTACAGAACGCTCGGTTCACATGGACAAATGGAGAATTACCAAGGCGACCGGCTGACCCTGACTTTCAATACCTGACACCCATACTACTTTATAGATTTAGTTGAAATAGATTGCATAAGATGTACAGTTCGCATGTCGAAACATTAATAAAATACAAACTTATAAAGATTGTTGAGAAATTCATTATGTAGACGCTTTTGTATGACATATCAAACGAGACAGAGTGTATAAAATGCGCCTCTGGAACAAATACATATTCATGAGTGAAGCCTGTCCATGTTAACAAATCCACTGCAAATGTTTACGAATTTGCGTAGCGTATACTCAGCGAAGAGATCCTTTAGCCATATTCTTTAAATGGGAAATGAAAACGCCGAAATGTATTAGGTATTAATGCCCCTTTAAGTGTCCACCAATCCATAAAGATTTTCGTTCACTTTTTGATCAGAACAATATAATATCATTAATGTGTGCATTCATGAGGTGTAATGGAATAAGCAGGTACGCGGAAAAGAGGTTATTGAGTATAGATTACCATTAATAATATACCAGTTTTTCGGATTGAATTCATATCCTCCTCTGCAATGTCATTATAAAGGTAGATAAATCGTTATATAAAGCCATCTAGGACATAAGAAATGTTTTTACTCAAATTGATTTTCACTAAAATATTCTTTTCATGTTTAGGAATTTACTGGCTGCTAACAAAGATTATATCACGCACAAAGTAATGTTCTGTTAATGAGTCGCATTAAGGATCGGTGTTGTATTATTTTCAATCAATTTCAAAATCACTAGTTGATTAGCCCCTGGACAATTTGGCAGACAAAGTACTAGAATGAAGGACATCAATAGAGGTTTATAATACCGTTGCAATTGTGTTCATGTCCGCTGAAACCCGTCTCTAACATGATAAAATATGTCCTGCCATAACCTCAATTAAGAAGTTAACTGTAGACAGCTGGATTCTATGTTTGAGATCTCGCCTGTAATTACAAAAAGAACTAGGGCTCAGGTTACCAATTTTAGCCTGCAGAGAAAATAGTGCCACGTCACTGTAGCTCACCTGGATATGGATTGAGTTACCCGCCCCTGATGTGTACACAACACTGTCTACAGCACCCACATATTTTGCTAAATTATTGAGCATAGATGTGATCAACAATTCAGAAGATAGACTGGGTAATGCATAAAGACTTTGTGGTACCTTTACGAACAACATATGGTGGATCTAACTACATATAGAGCCAGACTCGGATGTTTCTCTCATCCACCCGGGACCCGACAGGTACACGCCATTCACTACACCCCACGATGATATGCCGTGTCGTCGCATCTTGTGCTCTATTGTATTCACAGTATATTCACTAGTGTCTGCAACACTGATCTTCAACCAAGATGTGATTCTGAACACTTGTACACGATTTGAGGAGTACGTTCCCCGCACCAGTGATGTTTACATTTGTGAGTGAGTGAGTGAGTGAGTATGGTTTTACGACGCTTTTAGCAATATTCCAGCAATATCACGGCGGGGGACACCGGAAAATGGGCTTCACAAATTGTACCAATGTGGGGAATCGAACCCGGGTCTTCGGCGTGACGAGCCAACGCTTTAACCACTAGGCTACCCGAACGCCCCTTGTTTACATTTGTGCTAGTCACATAGCTGTATTCACTCAATCGCGACAGACATCGTCCTCGGGACTTGGCTTAATGTGTCAGGATTTTCGATCTCATGCAAGGATCATTAGAATGGAAACTGAATATTTCAACGATGAATTAAATCCCGGGCCAATTGGAATGAAAGACTTAAACGCGGTTAAATCAGCGATAGTTGATGAATTGCGCGATTTTCGAGCGGCTGTCTCTGAAGATATCGATGGCATGAAAGAGCAACTAACTGAGGTTCATAGGAAATGTTCTTCTTTGGAGATGACTGTAGAGTTTATCAGGAAAGATATAGAGAACATTAGACACGATCAAGAAATTATATACGGCGATGTTGATGCATTACGGGATCAGATGGATAAACTTGAACAACGTCTAGAGGAACAATCGACTAACGTAGAGCGACTAGAAGCATTTAGACGGAGGGACAACGCAGTGTTCCACGGTGTTCCAGAACCAGAGAGTGAAAGTCATGAAGATTGTAAAGATACCGTAATTACCCTCCTCAACGCACATGTGTCGAATAAATTATGGCAAAATCGGGATATAGTGAGAGCACACCGATTAGGATCGAAGAAAACTGGGAGTGAAAGTAATCCCCGCCCCCTTATTGTCAAATTTGCATTTTCTGATGACAAGATTCAGGCACCTGGTAACCGCCAATCATTTCGTCAAGACAGCATTCGCATCTGACACATAATCAAAGACAGACTATTGTAGAAATGCATTTTTCAAGAACGGCAGCCTTCAGACGAAACCAATACATGCAGATGATAGAGGGAAAACACTAGATCTAGGCCAAAGGTGAATACTGACGGTGGACAGCCGACCCCAAGCACCAACGTTGAGGAGACGTCACAACCTCCATTTAGTATTAACGGTGACGCCCCTGAATAGGATTGTGGTCCTGGCCCAGAGCAACCTCCCGCACCAAATCTTAACAATTCCTTAGCAGATGAGTTTGTACACGTACGTACGCATTACTTTAAAGTTTTATTCAGGAATATATACGTTATATCATCTCAACACGAGGATTGTGATTTTCTAAAATATTTATCAGAGTTTGACATTGTGTATTTACTGAATAAGTTCAGAGATAAGTTGTTATCAATTCCATATTTATCAGAGCATACCCCTTATTTAGCAAAGGCATATAAAACTACCCGTCATGGACGACTGTCAGGCGGTATGGATGTTTTTGTCAAAGAGTCATTAGATGCATTGTGCACACAGGTAATACTTGGTATTGACAATTCTGTTGCTCTTAGATTATCTTAACGGGTACTGCAAATCAAAAAGGATATTTTCTTGATAGGTATGTACGTACCACCAGAGGGGTCCGCATACTATACATCAAGTGGAAAAGGTATAAATCGTTACAATATGTAAAAAAGGTGGAATTTGTAAAACTTCTATAGAGAGAACACCCAACCAAAGGCCCTTTTTAAATAGTAATGTAATGATATAATATAAAATATATTTCACATGATACAATATACTTTGAACACAATTAGTTAATGCATTAACGAGACTGACGAAAACATGGGCGAAACATTTTAAGAACGCCACAAATTAGTTGAATTAAATTAAAATGAGTTGAATCATGTGTCATGCTTGTAGTCACAACTTTATGTATTTGCGAAACTAAAACTGTTGAGCAAAGGAAAATATTTTCCCCCATGGGCCTAGCTTTCTCGTCCAAGGCGCAAAATTTCAAAAACGCAATAAAATAGTTGAATTAAGTTAAAATGAGTTACATTATGTGTCATGAAACTTGTAAGAACACCTGTATATATTTGCGAAACAAAAACATGAGTTTTGAGCAAAGGAACTTATTCTCGCCCATGGGCCAAACCTTTTTCTCGCCTATGGGCGAAATATTTCAATATCGCTATAAAATCGTTGAATTAAGTTAAAATGAGTTAAATTTTCTCATCATGATACTTGAAAGAAATACATTTATGTATTTGCGAAACAAAAACATGAGTTTTAAGTAAAGGAACATATTCTCGCCAATGGGCCAGTCTTCGTAACATAGTGTAAATATTGTAGAGTTTCTGGACTATTGGGTTTCCAGACTAAAAATGGGACGTGTTTATTGGTCTGAACTCCTTGAACAGTGGCTGGTTGAGAACCCAGATACTCAGCTGACTGTTACATGATTATCACCGGTGATCTGAACGCCAGAGTTGGACAAAGTAACAACCCGGCTGAGAATGTATCTGACTTTACCGGTGACGTTTGTCTTCAAGAGGAGCCGGTACCACTTAAAAATCGCAAGTCAAGTGACAATGTTACCAATAGATTTGGAAGAATATTACTTAATTTGTGTTATACTTTGAAATTATATATTTTCAACGGTCGAGTGTCTGGGGACGCCGACGGAGAATTTACCTTTATGTCTGAGCAGGGTTCAAGTGTAAACGATTATTTTATCGCTGGAGTTGACGCTTTTCAGCTAGTGGAGTCATTGTATGTAAACGACAGGGTTGAATCGGATCGTATGCCATTAGAAATGTCTCTCATACATCAAGAAAAGCCACTGAAAATGTATAATCAGCAACATTCAGATATATGTGGTGATAATTACAAATACACCTTGAATCCAACTCTAGCTAATGTATACAATAAAATTTCCACTTTGCCTCCAAATCATCTTTTTTAGCAGGAACACAGCTCGTGGATATAAGCATTGTTCGCGCTCTCGAATCATTTGTCCAGGTTCTTTTAAACACAACCGAATGTATGAGAAAGCGTAAATTCACATGCCCTTCTATTTGCTTTTTTTATATTCACTGTAAGCGAGCAAAGTATCGAACTCGCAAGACTTTAAGACATTTTCGGAAAAGCAAATCTGTTCAAAATAGGCGACTTTATTGTGTTGAAATAAATAAATACAAGAGCATTTGTAGGCAGACAAAACAAGCTTATCAAGTAAAAAAACGTAAAGCTTATCAAGTAGAAAAAGTAAAATAACTGTTATTTGCAGATAACGTCATCCTTGTCTAAGAATCTATTGCAGGTTTACAGACTCGGCTTAACATCCTTTTTTCAGATACATGGGGATTAACTGTTTACATACAAAAATCAAACGTAGTTGTTTTCAGAAGAGGAGGCACCCTATCCGCCAAAGAGAAATGGACATACAAAGACATCCCTCTGCCCATAGCTAACAGTTATAAGTACCTAGGTGTCATGACCGCCTCCGTGGTCTAGTGGTAGAGCGTCCGCCCGGAGAGCGGAAGGTCCGGGGTTCGATCCCGGGCCGCGTCATACAAAAAGACGTTAAAAGATTGTATTTGTTGTTACCCTGTCTGGCGCTCGGCATTAGGGGGCTAAAACAAGGACTGGTCGGCTCGGAGTCAGTATACTGTGTCTGAGTGGGGTATTCATGTTAAACTGCGGCATGGTATCTCAGTAAGCTAGCACTATAAATCGGCATCAGTCCGGACTAGTACAAGCAGCCACACACACACATACACGTGCATGCACGTCGCTATATAAGTGCAATAATCTTGGACGCGACGTTAAACCCAATTTCACCTCACCTCACTTGGTGTCATATTTTCTTCAACTTTCAAGATGACAAAGTGTATTGCTGATCTAGCAAATCGTGGAAAACGGGCTTTGATGGAATTAAATATTAATTTGAACAAAATAGGAATGATTGATCCAAAAGTATATTTTAAAATATTTGATACACAGGCAATACCTTTATATGGGTCAGAAGTATGGGGTTACCAGCGGTATGATCAATTAGAACGAGTTCATCTTTTGGCATGTAAAAGTTTTTTAAAGGTGGGAAAACAAACGCCAAATGCCATTGTCTGTGGTGAATGTTGTCCCTACCCGCTTTATGTCAATGCGCAGGTCCGCATTATAAATTACTGGTTAAAATTAACCCGAATGCGTGAAGGGCGTATCCCAAGAAAAGTATGTAACATGTTGATGTATTTCGACAACATTGGTCATAATACTTGGGTAGCATCTGTTCGTAACATTTTATTTTCGCATGGTTTGGGATTTGTATGGTTAAACCAGTCTGTAGGGGACAAAATAGCCTTCATTGGGGGTATTTAAAACGTGTCTTGTAGATGAATTTCGTCAAAACTGGATGTCAACACTCAACAGTAGTTCCCGATATGTGATGTATAAAGGATATAAAACACTATTTGAACTTGAAAAATATTTCAGTATTTACAATAGCAAACATGTACGCAGTGTTTTATTAAATTAAGATGTAATGTCATCTCTGTATTTCCTGCCAATAACTTTATGTATTCTGCAATACGTATGTGCCATCGGCTATGCGTTAGTTTTTATACCATTCGCTGTCACTGCTATTTTGTTTCACCTCACTCCCATACACCAAAACGAAGGATTATTGTCCAGCGGGTGAAGTGGTGTCCTTTCTGATTGCGCCTCGAGTGCCCACGAACAAGTTGCAGATTTATTAAAGCTCGGCAAGAACGCAATTCGTTACGGGACGCTATTATGATGAAGCAATCTAGGCAGGGGGCCCATTTCTGGTGTTTCCCGCCGTGATATTGCTTGGATATTGCTAAAAGCGGTATTAACCATACCCACTTACTCTCTCCCCCACTATACAGGGAGTCAAAAACAACTCATGTATGCCAACACAAGCAGTCAAGTCAAGCACATTGTCAGTCAGCAGAAGTCTATATGCAGTAAGGAAGACAACTCATGTATGCCAACACAAGCAGTCAAGTCAAGCACATTGTCAGTCAGCAGAAGTCTATATGCAGTAAGGAAGACAACTCATGTATGCCAACACAAGCAGTCAAGTCAAGCACATTGTCAGTCAGCAGAAGTCTATATGCAGTAAGGAAGACAACTCATGTATGTCAACACAAGCAGTCAAGTCAAGCACATTGTCAGTCAGCAGAAGTCTATATGCAGTAAGGAAGACAACTCATGTATGCCAACACAAGCAGTCAAGTCAAGCACATTGTCAGTCAGCAGAAGTCTATATGCAGTAAGGAAGACAACTCATGTATGCCAACACAAGCAGTCAAGTCAAGCACATTGTCAGTCAGCAGAAGTCTATATGCAGTAAGGAAGACAACTCATGTATGCCAACACAAGCAGTCAAGTCAAGCACATTGTCAGTCAGCAGAAGTCTATATGCAGTAAGGAAGACCGTACCGGGGTAGCTGTGATCCGACTATAAGTCAAGGGGAAAGACATATATGGAGACAAAAGAAATCTTAAGATTTTCAATACAAGTATAATCCATGATTGTAAGTAACAGGCACACATTACACTCGACGCTTTACAAGAAATATAGTCTGTCTTACAGACCCTCATACATTTATATCAACTACAGCCCATGCAAGTCTATAATGTTTGGCAAGTCTAGATTACTGCAGTATTAGGCATGAAGAGAATCACTAGGCTCCCTTTTTATTAGATTTTTATTATGATAACTGAACAACTGTTTTTTTCTGTACGATATGTTCATTTCAGAGACTATATGTTAGTCTACAAGAAATAATACAATGTCAGTTATCAACCGTCCTCTTTTTGACCCGCCTGTTGACCCTCGTACTCTGGAGCCAGCGGAAAAGGCTTGTGTTCATTTCATGAATAACAGAGTTTACTTCATATGAAGCGGGAATCGTGAAACATATTTTTACTGGCAAATAAAAGAATGACTGACATACATGAATTAAGAGTTATGTGCGATCCACACATTTGTTATTATTTGTTTTAACCTATAGAAGATAATTATCGTTTCAAATTTTATTTGAACGTGAAATGTTTTACCGTGGTTTAAAAATAATAAATGATATGTAATTTGTAAACAAACACGTTTTACAAAAATAACTGTTGGTTTAAAAAAAACATTGCCGCATAGCACAAACGTTTGAAGCGTGACAGTGAGTTCCATAGCTCTGTCGCATTGTAATTAGCAGTTAATTGAAGTTAGTCCTATGTAACTCTGGACGACAAATATCGGTAAACGGGATAACGCAACGGAACAGCGTATCAGCTCGTTTTCGGCCTTCATCGCTTGTCGCTTGCTTGATAAATGTACGAACGTCTGTACCGGTACGTAAAAGTGTTGGTGTCAATGTCAAATCTGTCTTCATTGATAACACATCTTCTAAAAAGAAATCTCACCTAAAGATATAAATATCGATGAGATGCTGTCTTTCGACAATGTACATCTATTTTATCTCCGATCTGTTCTATCACCAATAGATTATTTTAATAGGACTATTAGAATCATTATATCATTGAAACAGTATTGCAATAGCATCATTATGATACTATGACATAGTTGTACGACGTTTGCAATAGTATTGTTATTGTACATGTATGTTGAAAACCTTTACCTTCCAACAATGTAGATTACCTTCATCATTTGACATGTCATTTCCTTGGTTTGATTTCTGAGTCCTATCTGTGCCCCGTGCACAGGACAACATGTCATCCCTAAGGACAGTTTAGCTACATAATTCATGCTTGAAACACATTTAACGCAGCCTTTTTTCAGTTATGTCTTGAAAGAAAGCCCGGCACGACGCAGGTCGTAGACATTTGTCTCTGTGGCATGATGAGGACAAACCAAAGGTTAAAAGGAGAGCAAAGCCGTGATCAGCGGATCCTGGCATGACTAAGGGCCTCAACTCTGCACAGATTCGCTCGTAGCATCTTACATGTCTGGGAATCAAACCCGGATCTTTATCATGACAATCGTAGCGCTTTATCACGACTTTTTTGTGCCAATAACTTACATAGCCGTTTAGTTTTATTATTAGGGACATTTTCAATATCAGATTATGCAGGGAACATTGAAATGTACACAACTCTCGTCACGCAAAATGTATCCTACAAAAAAAAAGATTCGAGAGGTAGTATGGTTTCAAAACCAATTTGATATATTTATGCTCCCAAACACACCAGGTCACGAGTGGCATAGTAGTTTAATGCACCACATATTTGCTTCCCTTGCGTGTGCCAGAAATTTATGATCTTGTGTTTGAATCACTGATTCGCAGTGGTTATGATAAATTGTCTGTCAGTTCCATACCCATGCTCGATGATGTCATCAAGGGTCAGTCATCTTACACCTCCCACATAAAGCTGACATGCGTCGATATAACTTAACTATAGTTCAAAGCGGCGTTAAGCCCACTCATTCACTCACTCACTTCAAAATACAAAACTGTATCTAGCATCTCTGTCATCGAAGGCCCACTGATCGACAAATATGAAAGACATCTCTACAACACTCCTCCGCCATCATGTGAATTTGTCTTTTCCTGACACGTATCAACAATATCAAGAACACTTTCTCATAACTTTATGCCAGTTTTTTATAAACCTTCGTGCATCAAAATCATTAAAAAATTTCACCATCAGGTTCTCTACACTCCTAAAGGTAATAGGACTATCTCCTAGTATGAGTTTTTGGTTTAAAATCAAGTCATACGAAATGACACTCTCTCTCTTATAGTGTCCAACCTTATTTGAAAATAAACCCACGCTACTCACGTCGTTGTAGTGGACGTCATTAGATTGTCCACATGGCCAGTCAGTGATGTATTTGCCATGGAGGAAACATGTTGAAGAGGAAAGTCGAAACGTGAAGGAACGACACCGTGTCTCATTGCTGCATAAAATAGCACATGCTGAGGCACTGTGACCCTCCGCTTGTGCGACAGGTCCACCATTGAAACTGTTGGGGTCAACGCATGACTCCACTACCTTGAAACCCTTGAAGCCACTAGCTGATACAACATAGCTTGTCAGAAGAAACACCAGGGCCAGGGAACTTTTGAAACCCATTTTCTCTCTAACACGAGCAAATGATATAAATGTGTGTGAATAAATATCCTAGTCACTTGTCATCTGAGGAAAGATGAAATTTCGGTAACACCTCTGCCGATGATCTTGGACAGTTCAGATAAATCAACACAAGCTTTTTTCCCAGTCTTGTGAAGTAAATAATGTTTGTATGTAGAGGGAACATTAGCTGCGTGACCAGATCGATACCCTCCCTTCATGGGAACGATTCATTGATCACGGATTGACTGATGTGAAATCCATCAAAACTGAGTTCGTACGCCTGGCATGACGTTGTGCAAATATAACGTTGTGTCTCCTTTGAACATTTAGCATAGGCAATTGTATGACTGATTATATATTGCTACAGTTGTATTGTATTGAAATTTTCTGAACCATATTCCAGCGTAATGCTTATTCTATAATACATATTGGTATTTATAACTGCTTGGTTTTACCATTTACGGGACAGTTTACAACAGTTCATCGTGTTATTCTGTAGTTGGCTGCTGAAAAATGCAGGATGCTGGTCGACTTTATGAAACAAAGTAGTGAGTGTTCGTCTTAGAGTACCAAACTCATGGCCTACAAGTCAACAAATATGGGGGTTGAGTGGCCGGAAGGCTGCTTTCTATATTTCCACGAGCAGCACATAAATTGATATGTTACGTTCTCGTACAGATGGTATTTATGTGGTACACATGCTTAACGGACATACATAATCATGAACCCTAGCAATTTAAAACCTGACGAGATACGATGTTTTCACTTTATCATAGAGCAATATCTATGGTAATCACCGGGGTGATGCAACCGCCTCCGTGGTATAGTGGTAGAGCGTCCGCCCGGAGAGCGGAAGGTCCGGGGTTCGGTACCCAACCGCGTCATACCAAAAGACGTTAAAAGATGGTACTTGTTGTTACCCTGTCTGGCGCTCGGCATTAAGGGGCTAAAACAAGGACTGTTCGGATCGGAGTCAGTTTACTGTGTCTGAGTGGGGTATTCATGTTAAACTGCGGCATGGTATCTCAGTGGGCTAGCACTATAAATCGGCATCAGTCCGGACTAGTACCAGCAGCCACACAAACACACACACGTGCATGCACGTCGCTATATAAGTGCAATAATCTTGGAGGCGACGTTAAACCGCATTTCACCTCACCTCACCTCACCTCACCTCACCTCACCTCACCTCACCTCACCTCACCGGGCTGATGCATTTAATTCAAATTTTATTCAAATGAATCACTGCCATTGATATTCGGCATACACCTTCATTTATGCAAGTGATTCCGATACGTCAATTCTTACAATGTCCCCCCCGCCAAGTTATTGACGTCTTTGTTTTATGTGATCCGCCACCAAAACGGGAAGTTTATAAGAAAGAGTCCAAACCTGATCTTATTTTTTCGGATTTATAAGTTATATTTATTCCACCGCGGAATTGATTTAGGTTGTTTGCATTGATTCATTGTTTTTATCTTATTCTGAAATAATATCCGATTACAAATTCCGTACACCTTTCACCTGTATTAGTGAATCATTTGGTATGTTTAATTGGGTGTTTTTATACCAAAGACAAACGCATATAAAAAGATTGTTACTATTAACTGATCTATGTTTGTTATCAAGTATACATTTGTTGAACTTGATGTTAACAGGTTACTTTATTAAGAAAATCACGTTACAAAACCCCTCCACACAAAACAACAGCCATGTCCTCAAAATGATATTGATTTTGGATAGAGCTGATCAATGTGTGCCTTGGCAATCTGCTCATACATTCAATAACGCAAACATAGCCTATTATGGTTGTTCCTCCCACAATCAATGGTTTGTAGAGCCGTGGCATGTGTCTGTTTCTATAAAGCAAGGTTGATATGGCGATTTCACTCGTCATATAGGCCTCGGTTAGACACCACGACGAATGTGCAGCTGCTACAACGAAAACACCCAAGGCCCAGACACACTGTTGATCGAGCGACAAACGTCTCACCTTATATACGCAATAAAGCATGAACATGAAGATATTATGTGTACCAGAAGATAATTAGCTGTAGAAAGTGAAATTTTGTCAAGATAAACTTGTAAACTTCTACATCACACACTCACTCACTCACTCACTATATTTCAACATAACATGCCATGGCGATTACTACAAATGAAATGTTAGCAACGGCAAATGTTCATGTTTAATTATGTATTCGATTTAAAACGTAAATATTGACAATGTGGAAACAGGTTTCGGTTCAATCAACCAATAACGATAATCAATGTTAACGTGTAAACGTATTTGGATTTTTGCATTTTTTATAGAATCTTGTTATTGAGTATAGTAGCACCCATGGTTAAATGGTTGCAATATCGATCTGTTGTGTCTACGATAGTAGTTGGTACCGAAGAAACCTATTTTCCAACTTGTCACTTATCAAAGTCTCTAGTACCTCATCATAAGAGACCGCCTCTGTGGTCTACTTGATAGAGCGTTTCCGCGAAGAACCGAAGGTCGGTGGTTCGATTCTCGGCCGCGTTACACCAAAATACGCTAAAGAAGGCACTTGTTTTTTACCCAGGCTGGCGCTCGGCATTAAGGTAATAAAACAAGGACTCCTCGGCTTGGACTCATTACACCGTTTCTGGGTTGGGTAATCCGTATTAAACTGCGACTCACTATAACACGGACATTCATGCCTTCATCATAAGAATAAATTCCCTACCTCTTCATAAAAAATCGCCCCGTGGAGAGCCGGGGTAGAATAGATCTTCAGCAACCCATTCTTGTCGCAGAAGGCGACTATGCTTGTCGTAAAAGGCGACTAACGGGATCGGGTGGTCAGGCTCGCTGACTTGGTTGATGCATGTCATCGATCTCAATTGCATGGATCAATGCTCATGATATTAAGACTCGATTATTTGGGGTATTCTCAGCACGACGACCCCTCGAATTTTTCCATTCGCAGGACGACGACCGCCGGTACGCCTTTGATGTGTGGTGTTGTTTTAGGAGGGGATTAACTCCTTGGAAAGTCATCGGCAAAGCCAATCCCAACATCTTTGAGCTAATAAGATTTCTAGGAGCTGAACAGCAGAATACAGAGTGTAATCTGCTACAGTAGCAGGCCGGCCAGCGTCTCTTACCAAAAAAAGAAGAAGTTCTGTGATATACAACACAGAATCGATCAACTGAAGACCAGACTGATCCAGAATGAAGTCAGCGTAATTTTCTTTGCTGACTCAGTGTCTTATCTTCTCAAACTGTCCTAATTGCCCATGACTTTTACGTCATCTTGTACATATACATTCTAGTTATTTGTAAATAAATCAATATTCCACCCTTATTGTCTTTCTTTCGTTCGTTTCAAATCCATTTCCACTTTTTTACTTGCTCGAGTTGTTAAAATAACACTCGATACCCATTGTTTAACTAGATTGGCGGATTAAAATATTCGCAGGAAGACGACCTCACTTTTTGCTAGTTTGTTTTCATACGACACAGGGGGTCGTCGTCCTGAGAATGAACCTATTATTTACAGACCGCCGTCATATAGCTGGAATATTGCTGAGTGCGGAGTTAAACAACAAACCGACCAACCAACCATACAAAATCAATTTCCATCTGCAAAACCATCAGGAAAGCGAATGCTGTGCTTCATTACACCTCGCATATTACCTTTTTAAATATTTTAAGTACTTAATAACTGCCATATAAACGTGTGTCAGTGTGATTATGAAGGGAAGAACAAACCCATGCCTGGCATTATGTTTTCCACTTTGGTAAAACCATACAGGACAGGTAAGGGTGAGTGAGTATGGTTTTACGCCGCTTTTAGCAATATTCCAGCAATATCACGGCGTGATGTGAACATATACCGCAAAGAGAGACAATTGAGGCATCTTAAATAATGGCTAGATTTCTTTGAGTTGATATTTTGTTTTGTGAAAAGCTGGGGACATTAAGCGAAGTAAGACCAAGTACCTTAAGAATTGATTACTTGCCCGTGATTCCTTCGGAAGAATATGAACTTCGATATCTATTACATATATTGCGTGAGCATTGTTCTACATCGCTTTTAGCAATATTCCAGCAATATCACGGCGGGGGACACCAGAAATGGGCTTCACACAGTGTACCCATGTCGGGAATCGAACCCGGGTCTTCGGCGTGACGAGCGAACGCTTTAACCACTAGGCTACCCGACCGCCCCGACAGGTAAGGAGTGGACCGACTGAATCCACAATTAACTATGTCACATCATGACACAGTGAGTGGCCGCGCTTTGCATCATTTCGTCACCTTATCTGATTTACCCCGCAATCCCGTATACGCCAGGGTATTTGATACCGAACAGAGCCATAATCTGAAACCTAAAACATATGTTGCACATTAGGTATCGATTGTCAATACAACATGCAATAGCACAAGAATAGCACTTAAGAACACGTCTAACACAATAACCTCTTGGCCCGTGCGCTGCGTTCGATAAGAAACGTTATCAACGAATCAAGCAGCAAAACAATACATAGAAACAGTGATGGTGTTTCGTTGATGTATTTATGTACAGGATGTCAATGACTTATGGCAACGCCTACGATTGTGGTAGATTCGTTAAGCGCCGTATAGGCCGTTTCCGGGTACTCCAGTACCCGCACCTAGGAACCAATGTAATACTTCAACAACCATTAAGCACAGTAAAACGCCACTTCAAAGGTGGTTGTGGAGGTTTGATTTCGACACGCTTTCAACATGTACAGCTTTTTCTATTTACGGAGACTGTTTTATTCATCACGTGCACATACGACGATCTATAAATCAATATTATTTACATTTCGTAAGTACCATGGGACAGGCGCCATTACATTATGCAGCTGAATAAATTGATTCATAGTGAGCGTAAAATAGCGAGGGAAACGACATGATGTAAGACATTTTTTGTACTCAGATGAATGAGGCAGAGCGTCAAGTATGTATTTGATCTTTTCCGTTTGCTTTCTAAAGCGCCATACTGGAGATGAAAGCAGTTTCCTGATATGATGAGACTACAGTAAACTACGGTTGAACGAACTCGAAGGGACCACTAATTTTAGTTCGTAATAACCGTAGTTCGTTATAAGCATATATACGACATTTATACAACAAATGGT